TCGAGTGCGTCTTGCCGTTGTAGACGTAGTAGGCGCCGACGGACGCGCAGACGACGCCGCAAAAGACGACGGCGCCGACGATGGCCTTGGTGGTCCAAAACTTCTTGGGAGCAGGCGTGTCGACGACCTGGTCGAACTCGGCAGTGGGCGTCGCGGGCGGCAGCGTGGACTCGGTGGTGGTCATCGCAATGCGAGGCAAATTCGAAAGTGAGTGCGGAAGGCGATCGGCTTTGCATCGGCGTCTAAGTGCGACCCTACGCAACGCATCTGGATAATAATCCCAGTTGTTTCAAGAGATGCCATCCATGCCATCCATGCGAGCCCGGTAATGTAGCCTCTGCAACCCAGTCTGCAGCCGGCGCGACAGCTCGCGTGACACCTAGGCTCCGCGAGGGTAGAAAGGGAAGGGACAGATACATAGCTCGAGATTCAACGGTTCAACTCGGCTGCTGCCTATCCACCGTATCTAAAGTGTATACAGTAACCGCCCGACATTGCGGATGGGACAGGATGGCAGGCTCTGCATGGAAGAAGACGCCATCGAAACGTGCGCCAACAGAACAAGCACCAGAGTGTGGCGCTCGGCACGTTGGTAGTTGCACCAAAACGAAAAGAAATACTACTATTGCGTCCTGGACGTAAAATCTGCCTGCGAGCCTTGTTTACTTGACCAAAAGCAACGCCAAGACCACTGTGTGCGCCCGTCTAAGCTGACGGTTTCAACCAGCTGACTCGACGAACAGAGACCGCACGTTGAACCTCCTGCAAGCCGTGAAACATTCGTTCAGTTTGCGGCGCCAGTCAGATTCTACACACATTAAACGATTGAAAGACACTACTCGAGACCGGGATCGATCGCAGGGTCAAGCTTAAATGCTAAAGGACGAAGAGACGCAGAGGTGCGTGGGTGGGTATTTCAAAGACGCGCTGAGCCGTGATGCTTTTGGACGCCAGCTGCATGTTTGCACCCACCTGTTCGGAACAGCTGTGCAATCAGTTCTGATTCGGTGAATCTCCTCGACCGCGACACAGTACCTTCTGCTAGCACCGCTTGCTGTGCGTGGCCGGGCCATGTGCGCGTGCCATGATACGCCTGGCACGCCTTGATTGGCCCGATACACGGTCATCGCTTGTCTACGACGACGTGGGCATCTCGACGACCACAGAGTGGTTGGCAGCACGGGGCGTCGTCGTGATTGATATGTGACGTCGCGTGTGCTTTGCACTGCAGAGAGGTTATCACGGTAACTGCTTTCTAGAACCGTCCATTACAGTGTATTCTGCGTGGTCAACGTAGCTGGCTTCGTAACGCGTGCGTGTCCACCTCGTGTTCAGTATACTTATAGTACTAGTCGGTTCTATACCAACCAAAAATAACACACATTGGACGTGGTGAGTCTTTGTGCTGTGAAATGAAGCAAGGTCGAGTTTCGAGAACCACTACGAGTCCTTCATGCGATCAAAGAGCGGGTCAAGGTCGGGTAGTGGGATGCGCGGAATCTCTTGTTGCGAGAACTAGTCTTCTCACGTGACTAAAACACTATTTGACTACAATTTTTTGAAAAACGTGCAAAGTGGTTAACGTAACGTGTTGTCGAAATGAGAGTTCTCGTTATTTGGGTTACAGACCATAGTGCCATATACATCCCTGTAATACATGTACGTGTACGCAAAGCGGGCAATGTAGCAAACGTTGGTCTGTCTACAACGCACACTCGAACCATTTGACGGGCTTGCGGTCGGCGCCCCACCAACCGTCGCCGTTGCGGAACGACGTGTCGAGGTGGTTGACGCTCGCCTTGTAGTTACCGCCAGCTTCGGCGTCCGTGACAAAGTTACCGAAACCAACGCTGCAACTGTTGAAGTCGACTACGCCGTCGTGGAGGGAGCCATCTTTGAACGCCATTGAGCCCACGAGGGCAAGCGCCGCGCCGTCCGTCGATGCCAAGCCCGACGATTTGATGCCGCACATGAGCTTGTTGGCGCGCTTCCGGGCCGTCTGCGCGTCCAGGTACGCCTTCTTCAAGCTCGCGTCGACCGTGTCCTGATACTTCATTTGCAAGTACGACTCGGTGGCCGGACAATAGCCGAAACGCCGAGGGTCGCACTCCAACCGCCCGACGTGCACTTCTCCTCGAGCAAATTGGAGGCCTTGCTGCCCTGCATCGGACCCGC